CTGACATCTTTGCTCTTGAACACTTTAAAGAGGCCTTGTGAAGCAAATGTGCCTAATGCAATATGTCATTTGATTTCTTGATTGCTGCTTCTATGAGTGTTGATGATGGATTTAAGCAACATGAAGTCTTTGATAATTTCAATCTTTTCTCCAATTATCAGGATATTATTTATTGGTCCAGAGGAGAGGATTTTTGTTTTCCTTACATTGACGTTCAAACCATATGGAAGGCTGCGGTCTTTGATCTTCATCAGTAAGCATTTTAAGTCCTCTTCACTTTCAGCAAGCAACGTTGTATCGTCTGCATACCGCAGGTTGTTAATGAGTCTTCCTCCATTCCTGATGCCATGGCTCCTCTTTACATAACCCAGCTTCTCGGATTATTTGCTCAGCATACAGATGGAATAAGTGTGGTGAAAGAATACAATCCTGGTGCACACCTTTCTGAATTGCCCCCCTTGTTCTGTTTGATGTACACGTTCCTCATAAGCACAATTAAGTGTTCTGGAAAACATTCTCAAGAATGCTGTCCATAATTTGTTATGATCCACACAGTGGAAAGTCAATAAAGCAAAGGTAAAACATCTTTTTGGTATTCTCTGTTTTCAGCCAAGATCCATCCATTGCCAATGAGTCAGTTCTAACTCCTGGAGGTCCCATGTGTGACATAGTAGAACTATTGTTGTTGTTGTTATGTGCCATGGAGTCGGTTCTGACTCATAGCGACCCTGTGCAGGGTTTCCAAGGCTATAAATCTTTACGGGAGCAGACAGCCTCATCTTTCTCCCGCGGAACAGCTGGTAGTTTCGAACTGTTGATCTTGTGGTTAATAGCCTGACTCGTAACCACTATGCTACCAGAGCTCCTTAGTAGAACTATACTCCATTGAATTGTCAACAGTGATTTTTTTGCAAGTAGATTGTCAAGTCTTTCTTCTGAGGTGCCTCTGAGTAGACTTTCCATTAGCAACCAACCTTTCTTTTAGCAACCAAGAGCACTGACTACTTGTACCACCTAGGGACTGCTAAGTACTGGAGTAGCATGCCGTAATGAAACCAGAGCTTTCTACTATGGCTTCCATCCATCTTCCCTATTGCTTTTACCAAAAAACCAGCAGATAACACAAATGTACAAATTTGATATCAACATTTCTAAATCATGTTTTCAAAGGAATTGCAGTGTTTCTGTCACATGTAGACCATCTTCCTCCGATTTCTACCACAACCAGCTTCTTGGGTGGAGGACCAGTGCAGTGTGGGACCTGATGTTATCTGTCATTTCACATCAGTAACCTTCAGGAAAGGATCACTTCATCCTATGGATCCAACAATAGCAATGCTTTCAAGAAAGAGGTTTATATTTCTCAAGCCATCCCTTTGGGGACTCTGTCTGGCCTACCTTCCACACCTCTTGTCAATATCTGGAGCTTTCCAAACAGTTCCAGCTATTGTAAAGTCCTGGTCAGTCTAATCCAAATTCTGGTCAAAGCATTGACTTTACTTCACATGCCCACCTCTCTGCCTCCACTATTCCTGGCATGGGCAAGGCTCAGAGTGGTGGGCTCCATCTTTTATTCCCCTGTTCCCTTCCCCCTGTACATCCCTGTCTCAGCATGCCTCTTTCTGGATCACTTCAGGATAAGAAAGGGAAATGGAAAAGAGGGCAATGTTCTTTTCCCTAACCAGGGCCCTCTGGAGCCTCCCCCATTACTCTTATGGGTCCTCTGTCATGGTGGGCATCTCATTGCTCCCCCATCAGAGTGCATCTGGGGGTCTCTGGGGACCCTCTGGGCACCTCTGCGCACCATCTTCTCCTGATACAGGGCAGGCATTGTGGCTTCCATCCAGCCTTCAGCTGTGCATCCACTATGGGCCAGTTCTTTCAACAGCATCCACTTGGCCCTCAGGAAATATTCAAATGGCCCTGCTCCTAAACTGCCCTATCTTTCATTCCACTGCATAGAGGCAGGCACCAGATTCACTGCTACTGTCCACACTCAGTGATGGGAACACCATCATCTTCTCTAGCGCTCCAGGGATGCCTACTTTTACTTCCCAAAGCTCACAGCCATTGAAAACCCTGTGGAGCACAGTTCTGCTCTAACACACATGGCTCACCATGAATCCGACTTGACTCAGTAGCAATTGGTTTGGGCTTTTGGTATACATCTGTTGAGTCCTGATGTGGTGCCGTAGAATAAGCTCGAGAAATATGAGGTTAACCATAGGGTCAGTCGTGCAAACCCACCAGCCACTCCTTGGAAATCTTATACTGGGCTGCATGAGTTGGAACCGACTCATCAGCACTCATCATTAACAATAGCTTATATGTATTCTCACATACGTGTGTGTGTTTGTGTACATGCTGTTAAGTGCTGTTGAGTTGGTTCTGACTCATAGCAACCCTATATGAGGTTTTCAACACTGTAAATCTTTACAGGAACATAAAAGCTCATATTTCTTCCAAAGAGTGGCTGGTGGGCTCAAACCAAGGACCTTGTGGTTTGTCATCTAGTACTTACCCTACAGAACCAGCTGTACTCCTCAGGTGTGTACATAATCCCCAAATTCCATCCTTCTATTTTGTATCTTGGAGTCCTGGTCTAGTGCTGTGGGTTAATGTGTTGGACTGCAAAGTCGGTTTGAATCACAGGGTCAGCGGTTCAATCTTAACAGTTGCTCCTCAGAAACCCTATACAGGGTCGCTATGGGTCAGAACCAACTCAATGGCACTTAACAACAAGAAAAATTTCATACCTTATATTCATAACCCATGCATCAGATATTGCAGGCTTTAGGGAGATCAATTAATAACAACACTCTGACAGATTTTGAATTATTTTATAACTAAGACAAAAATAAAGCAATTAGGAAACCAATTAAGAGACTAGATTGGAGTCTATGACTTTAATTAGTCCATAAATTTACTTTCTAACTAAAAGAAAAGAAAAAAAAAAAAAATCCCAGGATTAGATAGGTTTATCTATACAGAACCAGGTAGAGCTAAATTGGGGCAGGTCAGGATATTTACCATCCCTGATGACACATCCCCCTCCCCTGCACCCAGTCCTAATGAGGTTTAGCGCTGCCTCACAGATGTGTGTGTGTGTGTGTGTGTGTGTGTGTCCATGTCCCTACAGGCTCTGATTCTGTATGTGTGTGTGCATGTCCCTACAGGCTCTGATTCTGTATGTGTGTGTGCATGTCCCTACAGGCTCTGATTCTATACTTAACAAGGGAGATATCATAGAGAATGCCTACTGTTTGAAGGCAGGCTGGCTCCCAATGAGAAAGGAACCCATGCCCAATGGCTCTTGCCAACTCATCAATCACATAAGTAATTTCTCCACTCAAGGGAGGAGTGAAGGATGGGCTAGGGAGACATCCAGAAAAGAACTCTAATGGATGTGCCTCTTTATGGGAGCAAACATAAAAAAATAGAAGGAGCATTCTACCCAAAGAATAACCGCAAGTATAAAATGGTTTAAAATTCTACAAAGTGCTTTTAATAAATAAAAAGGTGCTACAAAGATGAGAGAGAGACAAGGAAGAGCTGGTTGGTCTGAAGTGTGGTGAGACCTGGGGACTCCTTAGCCCATGGACAAGGAAATAGACATGGAGGACTAGAGCTGAGAGTGAAGCATCCAGTTGATATGAAGTGAGGGGAGACACACAAGAATGCCCAAACTTGCAGATAGTATTCATTTGACCTAGCCTCAATGGCTTCATAATCACAACTCAACTAGAGGAAGATTTTTTTTTTTTTAATGTTTTTTGGTAAAGGAGATGAGTGTAAATTGCTACAATTTGATGAACTTGACCTATACTTATGGATGTAGTAGCTCAAAATACCAACTGAGAGGGAAGGAGTCTTCACATCAAGTATCAATCCTATCCCCTCTGTATACAGGGTAGATAGGGATGGGCAACTTAGACATTGACTACCTAAAATGAGGGGGTGATAAAGGCATGAAGTGATTGGCTTACAAAGTTTCAAGAGGGAGTTTAGTTTCAGAGTGTGCTGGGAAAGGTACAGTCCCCACTGAATAGTTTTCATCTTATCTAGATGGGTCTGATGAAAAGAGATGGGGATAAGATCCTTATGATTCTTACGATTCAGTAGTGAGTAATTGTTATCATGACTAATTGTGATTGCCACGACTATAAAGGTATAAGTTTTGTAACAAAAACGGGGGAGTAGTTAATCTTACAGCACAGAAACAGAGGACCCTAGGACCACCAAGGGAGAAGACCACAAGCAGAATGCGGGACCTTATCCAGAGAAGCAGCTACACCAGAGATGGAGAGAGGGAGCAGCTAAGGACTCTGGACTCATGGAAAGAGAGGAACTGGGTGCTGGTGGCCAGGAGGCAGGTCTTCAGAATGTGCTCTTTGGTTGTTTAAATTATTATATATTCGTGAGTGTTTTTGTGTACATCCCTCCCTCCCCCCAAAAATGAACCAGAGGGAATGGAATAAAATACTGATACAAGGAGACTATAATCATTGCAATGAAATGATGGTGTAAAGCCATTGTTCTCCCATGTAGACTATCACTCAGTTCACAATAAAAACTTAAAAAAAAAAAAAAAAAGGTACTACAAGAGATCCCACCAGTCAGGAGAATCTATACATATTTACATTGTTTTCAAAATGAGATTACTGTTCCTTAGAATATATATATGTGTATGTATCTAGCTAGCTATCTATGTCAGAGAAATTATAAGTGTCCAGTAGAAAAGTAGAATGCTTAGAAGATATAACTGTATTTTTAAACATATTTATCTTCAAATTGCTTATTCTACAACAAGGATGGTTAGAACATGATTTAGATGGTACCCTGAGGTAGATTACAAAAGTTTGTTAACTGTTCAATAAAAGCATGGGTCTCTTAAAAAAAATAGGTTAAAACATTATTTTCAAGATCAAATTTTAAAATAATGAACTAGTTCAAATAATACATGACAAATAAGCAGGTAGGCTCTTTCACTGTTTGCTTACTCTGTTGTTTCTCGGTTGGGAACTTTTCTCATGGCGAAAGCCACCATCGCTCTGAAGAGATATTCTTCATTTGTGTCCCAGACATACTAAAAAAGAAGAAAAATAGAAAATGAAAATGAGAAAATTGAAGGACAAGAATCAAAATGGTCCATTGGGTTTTAATTGGGGCCATAGTGACTTTCTCTTTCTCTCATCCGCTGAGTCTGGTGACCATTCCACCATAATATCCGGGGTAGAGTTTCTTGAACATCCTATAATCCAAGCGCTGTGAGATCTAACGATGTCGTCAGAACCCATAGCCTGTGTAGTCTATCAAGAAATTGGGTATGTGAAAGGAGATGGGGATAGGTCTCTTGTCATGCAATAGTGAATAATTGTTATCAGGACTGATTGTGAGGGTTGGAAATGTAAAGGTGGACATTTTATAGCAGGGAGGGGAGTGATTAACTTTTCAGTCTAGGAGCAGAGGGCCCTGGGACCATCAATGGAGAAGAGCAGAGAGCAAGACGCTACCCAGACAAGCAGTGATGCCTGAGATGGAGACAGAGACGATGACATGGAGAGATGGAGTGGCTGGGACTCTAGACCCAGAGAGGGAGAGGGGCTGTGTGCTGATGACCGGGGGGCAGGCTTGCAGGGTATATATACCCTTTGGTTAGTTGATGATGCATGGAGGGGATTGTAACCATGGCAATAAAACGCTATACGATAGGATGAATTTTGTAAAGCTAATGTTCTCCCATGTAAACTAGCACATAATTCACAATAAAACATTATAAAAAGAGAAAGAAAGTCATTGGGCATGTGTACATCTTCTTACTGGCCATGTATCCTTCTGCCGAATGGACTAACTCCCAGCTTCTCTTCCTTTCTTTGCATCAGAACAAATTTTCTGTTTTCTTCTTAGCTAGAACCTTGGGTGCGTGCACATCATTTACCCATTCATGCTTCATTTTTAGTCAAGTAGCAAAGTCCACCCTTGAGACAAGAAGGGGCTGATGTTCTTAAGGAACAGCCAGGAAGCTCATGGGACAAAAGCAAAACTAGAAGCATGGAGACTTAAGTCAGTTTTCAGATTTGGGGATGGATTTGACCTGATCTTCTTCTGTAAGTATTTTAAATGCTCTTCATTTCCAGCAAGTAAGGTTGTATCATCTGCATATCACATGTTGTTAATGAGTCTTCCTCCAATCCTAGTACCACGTTCTTCTTCATGCAACCAGTTTCTCAGATTATCTGCTCAGTGTAAAGACTGAATAAATATGGTTGCCGGGGTCTGACCTTGACATAGTTGTGTTGTTCACGAGTGTTTGGTTCACGAGGAGGGGAGATCCAGCGGCGATAGAGGTAGCAAAAGAGACACAGAGACGTAAAGAGAGAGACAAAGAGACACTCCGAAACCAGTGTGAATGCTGGACTGGCATCAGGCAGATCCTGCATTGCAAACATCTCAGCCACGAAGGCCGTAATATCCTGCATAGTAAACACCTTAGCTAAACAGGCAGTATGGTTGCAATGCTGGACTGAGCCCCCTGCATGCTGTAACGCACGCCTTGCCAGTCATAATGCACCTGGATTCGTTCTGCACCTTCCTTTTATTTAGGGGAGGTACTTTACACAAAGTTAGGAGGGGCTAAGACAAGGTACAGCTGTCAATCTTACTTTTCCAGACATTCAGGCAACTTTACATCGTTCTCACGACGGCAACTTGGTTTCTCAAGCTTAATTAACATACCTTTTAGCACCTAGCCTCAAATGGAGGGAGGAAAGGGAGGATTGGGAGGATTCCTATTGTGTCGGCTGCCCAGCCCAGGTTCTTCAGGAAAAGAGGCGCCTGGGTGAATAGGCAGCACCTGGAAACACTTTAGGGAGGGCATTCCTATTGTCCTTGGAACAGACCAGGGAGCCACCCAATTTACCTTGAATGAATTCTCTGAGGGAAGAACTTTGCCTGTTTGGAATTTTACAGTCTTGACTTTTAGGAAAATATTACATTTATCTGTGTATATTAAGGGCTTCATGTCTGCAATTAATAAAACATAACTGGACACTAAGATGAAAAATAATTTGTTATTAACTGCCAGGTGGCTAGATCTGTTACACTCGGGCCTATAGGGCCTCGAACCTCTGACCAGGCCTTCACGGTCTGCAACATATGGTGAAAGAATACAGCCCTGGGGCAGAGTATCAGTGACCAGACAACTCAGCTTCCCGAAGGTTCTCTGTGACCCTCAGTCCACAGGCTCCTGGCATGCATCTTCCCCTCTGCAAAGATGCTCAAGAGGAAGGTCAGATTGGCCAGAGGGATGGTGAAGGAGGAGCCCAAGAGGAGATTGCCGAGGTAGTCAGCGAAACCTGCTCCTGCAAAAGTGGAAATGAAGCCAAAAAAGGCAGCAAGGAATGTACAGTCTCTGATGAAGCAGGAGAGAACGAAGACAAGTCGAGTTAATGTTTGTCTACCGTGTTGTATTAAGGAACTCTGGTAGTGTAGTGGTTACAAATCAGGCAGCGAACCATAAGGTCAGCAGTTTGAAACTACCAGCTGTTCTGTGAGAGAAAAATGAGGCTTTCTGCTCCCATAAAGATTTACAGCCTCAGAAACTCTGTACAAGGTCGGAACTGACTCCATGTCACATAACCACTACCACCACCACCATGTTGTATCAGTGAGTCTGTATCTCTCTTCTTGTATAATCCAGAGGAATATTTTTATCAACTATTGTGTAAATGCAACTTTTTTAGTAGCTCTAGAAACACTTTTAAGAAGGATGAAACCCCACTTCATCGCATTTTTGAAGTGTAAATGCTTTTTTTTTAGAGGTGAAATAATTTGCTGGTTGTCTATTTTTTGGTACAACCAGAAAGTAGTGGGATGTTGGCAGATGGGAGATTATGACTATCTTGGGTGTCAACTTAATATTCCATTGAGGTGGGGGAGTTTTTATATCCCATAATACAAAGCATACTTAATGGTAATTGGGAGTCATAATCATACATTTGTAAGACTTGAACATTTAAAATTCTATTTGCTGTTTTTTAGTAAAATTGTTTCACTTGTCTTGCTCTGCCTGTCAGAACTGTGTGCTTTTTGTGACATCTTTGGTCATGGTAGTCCCGTTTTTCTCATCACATTGTTATGTGTTGTGAAAGGTTGAAACTTTGAGTGTGTAATGTGTGTGATACTAAATTGTAAACTAGAAGGACTTCGTGATTATCAACAACTGAAGATACTGGTACTTGAAAAATTTGGTACAAAGAAAATTTGCCTCCAAATTTAAAGTTGGAAAGTCACTGGAATTTAGAAAATAATTGTAACTCCATGGCTCTTAGATGTTTGGTACATACATTAAGAATTGTCTACAAATTGTTCATAATGTCTCTGTACTGACTCCTAAAACAATGAAATACTAATTATGAAAAAAAAGGAACACTGCTCTGGTGCACACCTTTCCTGATTCTAAACCCTTTGTTCTGTTCAAACGACTGCCTCTCTGTCTATGTCCAGGTTCCTCATGAGCACAATCAAGTGTTCTAGACTACCCAGTCTTCACAATGCTATCCATAGCTTGTTATAATGCACGCAGTCAAAGTCCTTTGCATAGTCAATAAAGCACAGGTAAACATCTTTCTGGAATTCTCTGCTTTCAGCCAAGATCCATCTGACTTTAGCAATGATAGTCCTCGTTCCATGTTCTCTTTGGAATCCAGCTTGAATTTCTTGCAGTTCCCTGTCGATATACGGTTGCAGCCATTTTTAAATTATCTTCAACAAAATTTTACTTGCATGTGATATTAATGATATTGCTTGATGATTTCTGCATTACATTGGACCATCTCTCTTTGGAATAGGCACAGATCTCTTCCAATCAGCTGTCCAGGTAGCTGTCTTCCAAATTTCTTGGCATAGATGACTGAGTGCCTCCAGTGCTGCATCAATTTGTTGAAACATTTCAGTTTGTGTCCGATCAATTCCTGAAGCCTTGTTTTTCACCAATACTTTCAGTACAGTTTGGATTTCTCCCTTCAATGCCATCAGTTCTTGATTATATGTTAGCTCTTTAAATGGTTGAACCATTTCTTTTTGTTACAGTAACTCTGTCTATACCTTCCATCTTCTTTTGATGCTTTCTACATCATTCAATATTTTTCCCATGCTGTTGTTGTTACGTGCCGTCAAGTAGGTTCCGGTCCATAGCGACCCTGTATAGGGTTTCTGAGGAGCAGTTAGTGTTTTTGAACTGGCAACCTTGCAGTCCAGCAAATTAACCCACAGCACCACACCAGGACACCATATTTTCCCCATAGACTCCTTCAATATTGCAAGCTGAGGCTTGAATTTTTTCATCAGTTTTTTCAGTTTCAGAAATGCTGGGCATGTTCTATACTTTCGGTTTTCTAACTCCAGGTCTTTGCGCATGTCATTATAATACTTGACTTTGTCTTCTCGAGCTGCCCTTTGAATTTTTCTGTTCAGATTATTTACGTCCTCATTTCTTCCATTTGCTTTTCTGGTCTTTTCTTTCTATCCTGTCTTAATAACCTTTTATCTTCTTTCCCTATGATGTTCTTGGTGTCATTCACAGCTCTTCTGGTTTTCAGTCATTAGTGCCTAATGCATTAAATCTGTTCTTGAGATGGTCTCTAAAATCAAATGTGATATGTTCAAGGTCATATTTTGGTTCTCCTGGGCTTGTTTTAATTTTCTTCAGCTTCAATCTGAATTTTCATATGAGCAATTGATGGTCTGCTCCATAGTCTGACCCTGACCTTGATTTACCTAATGATATTGAACTTTTCCACTGTCTCTTCCCACAGATGGAGTCAGTGTAATTCCTGTCTATTCCATCTGGTGAGGTCCATGTACATAGCTACATTTTATGTTGTTTTCTTCAATGAAGAAGTCATTGGTCTTGCAAAATTCTATCGTTTCTATCACCAAGGCTATATATTCCAACTACTGATCTTTCCTCTTTGTTTCTAACCTTCCCATTCTGATCACCAGTAGTTATTACTACATCTTGATTGAATGATTTATCAATTGCAGACTTAGGAAGTTGGTAGAATTCTTTAATTTCATCATCACTGG